GTTGTGAGGGTGAGTGGTTGTTGTGAGGGTGCGTGGTGAGGGTGAGTGGTAAGAGTGAGTGGTGAGGGTGAGTGACGGTTGTGAGAGGTGATTAGTGAGTGGTGAGGGTGAGTGGTGAGGGTTAGTGGTGAGGGTGAGTGGCGGTTGTGAGTGGTGATTAGTGAGGGGTGAGTGGTGAGGGTGAGCGTGAGTGGTGAGGGTGAGTGGTGAGGGTGAGCGGTGAGGGTGAGCAGTGAGGGTGAGTGGTGATTGGTGAGGATGTGATTGGTGAGGATGAGTGGTGAGTGGTCAGGGTGAGTGGTGATTGGTGAGGGTGAGTGCTGAGCGGTGAGTGGTTGTTGTGAGGGGTGATTAGTGAGTGGTGAGAGTGAGTGGTGAGGGTGAGTTGTGAGGGTGAGTGGTGATTGTTGAGGGTGTGATTGGTGAGGATGAGTGGTGAGTAGTGAGGGTGAGTGGTCACGGTGAGTGGTGAGGGTGAGTGTTAAGGGTGAGTGGTGAGTGGTGAGGGTGAGTGGCGTTTATGAGTGGTGATTAGTGAGGGGTGAGTGGTGAGGGTGAGCGTGAGTGGTGAGGGTGAGCAGTGCGGGTGAGTGGTGATTGGTGAGGGTGTGATTGGTGAGGATGAGTGGTCAGGGTGAGTGGTGAGGGTGAGTGGTTGTTGTGAGGGTGAGTGGTGAGGATGAGTGGTGAGGGTGAGTGGCGGTTGTGAGTGGTGATGGGTGAGTGGTGAGCGGTGAGGGGGTGAGGGTGAGTGGTGAGGGTGAGTGGTGAGGGTGAGTGCTGAGTGGTGAGGGTGAGTGGTGAGAGAGTGGTTAGTTTTGAGGGTGAGTGGTGAGGTTGAGTGGTGAGGGTTAGTGGAGAGTGGTGAGTGGTGATTGGTCAGTGGTGATTGGTGAGGATGAATGGTGAGTAGTGAGGGTGAATTTGAGTGGTGAGGGTGAGTGGTGGTTGTGACGGTGAGTGGTGAGGGTGAGTGGTGAGGGTGAGTGGTGAGGCTGAATGGTGAGGGTGAATGGTGAGAGTGAGTGGTGAGTGGTGAGGGAGAGTGGTGAGTGAGAGTGGTGAGGGTTAGTGGTGAGGGTTAGTGGTGAGAGTGAGTGGTGAGGGTGAGTGGTGATTGGTGAGTGGTGAGGGTGAATGGTGAGGGTGAGTGGTGAGGGTGAGTGGTGAGGGAGATTGGTGAGGGAGGTTGGTGAGTGGTGAGTTGTGAGGGTGAATGGTGAATAGTGAGTGGGAGTGGTGAGTGGTGAGGATGAGTGGTAAGGGTGAGTTGTGAGTGGTGAATGGTGAGGGTGAATGATGAGTACAGTCAATATGCACTGCTGTTATCATACCAGGTACCACCACCACAATATGTACTCCTCTCATCATAGCAGATACCACCACAGCAGTATGCACTGCTGTAATCATAGCAGGTACCACCACAGTCAGTATGCACTGCTGTCATCATAACAGGTACCAACACAGCAGTATGCACTGCTGTAGTAATAGCAGGTACGACCTCAGTCGGTATACACTGCTGTAGCGATAGTAGATACTGCTATCGAGTTGGTAGATACCGCTATAGTAAATACTAAAACAGTCAGTATATACCACTACAGTCAGTCAATACTGCTACAGTCAGTATATACTACTATAAAGTCAGTACATATTGCTACGGTGAGTAGCTACTAGAGTCAGTAGATACTATTATAGAGTGAGTAGATACTGCTATAGATTTTGCAGTTACTACTATAGTCAGTGGATACACTATAGAGTCAGCAGATACTATACAGTTAGTCGTTACGAGTATATAGTCGGTAGATACTACTGTAGGCCCAGTAAATACTACTATGGTCAGTAGTTATTACAGTCACTAAATACTACTACACAGTCAGTAGCTACTACTGGCTCAGTAGATACTACGGTACAGTCAGTAGATACTACTACAGAGTCAATAGATACCACTTCCTCTGTTGTATGTGTAAAGTAGTAACTCGGCAGGAGACGACTTCACGGGTAGCACACTCTTTACTTTCACCAACTTGTAGTTACACGGATGACTAACACCCTACTTCGTTACACGGGTGACCAACACCCACTTAGCTACACGGGTGACGGACACCCACTCAACTACAACTTCGTTACACGGGTGACCAACACCCACTTAGCTACACGGGTGACCAACACCCACTCAGCTACACGGGTGACTAACACCCACTCAGCTACACGGGTGACCAACACCCACTCAGCTACACGGGTGACTAACACCCACTCAGCTACACGGGTGACCAACACCCACTCAGCTGTACTGACACGGGCTCTTACGCCCTGTAGCCTTCCGGGACACACCCAGCCGGGGTGCCCGTCTCGGCTCTGGGTACCACCGTCCCGACCCACACGGGCGTCGGACTACGGTCCCCCCAGTCTCGGCTCCGAGCCACACAGGGCCCCTACCTCCTCCACCCCGTCTTCGGTCTTCAACTGGTTAACACTGACCACGAGTGCTCTCGCGCGTCCCCCTTTATACCCCTCCTGCGGACGTCGCTGAGAGTACTCACTTATCTGACCAATCACTGCGCACTCGCTACGATCCTCTTTTCCCAGCTTGTGTGAGCGCGCCTCACCACCGGCGCGCGCGTCCATGCCACGCCCACACCGCGTGCCCAACCCCGCGCCCCGTGATCCATCACTGCCGGCGCACGTCAATACCACCACTACATATGTAAGGTGTTGTTAGTATATATACCTACGAGGGGTAAAGATATTTTTTGAGGGGGGGGGGGGAGACCACAATTTTCGGAAACATTTTGACATCAACTATTTACCCCACACTTTCTACAACTTTTTGGACTTGTGAAAGCCTCTTATATATTTGTTGGTGGAGAAATGTACAAACAGCCCATCGGGCTTTGACAATACCTTAGTATCTGTGTATATATATGTAAGGTTTTTAAGAAATATATTTTTCACCCGGGCAAAGCCGGGTACTTCCGCTAGTGGTCTATATACTGACCCAGTAGCATATCTTGAAAACTATAGCCAATCAACAATTTTAAGCATAATTTTCATTCTCAGTGACCCAGCATTAGTAAAGTTGGACTACATTTATTTCGGAAGCATTATGGCTGTAGACCAGTGTTATAGGCGTACTTCGTGTACCTTTTATTGATCCTGAAACATGCAGACAAGTGTCATCTATACAGGACCTTACGGCCACCTAATACTGGTAGGAACCTCCTGGTTACACCAGCCCACAGGGGATTATTGGGTCCGCCCGTCCGTCGTGCATCCAAAAATGGGAGGGGTGGGGCTGGGTGGAGAGGGGCTGGGTGGGGAGGGTGGGGAGGGGCTGGGTGGGGAGGGTGGGGAGGGGCTGGGTGGGGAGGGTGGGGCTGGGAGGGGCTGGGTGGGGTGGGGAGGGTGGGGCTGGGTGGGGAGGGTGGGGCTGGGTGGGGGGTGGGAGGGAGCGGTGGGGAGGGGCTGGTCACCCCGTGGTGCCCTTATAAAACTCAACGTTTAACCTACTCATGCCGGCTTGTGCCCGCCCTCACAGTCGGCCATATTTGCGGAATACACCACGCCGCCGTTGACCCTGGCCATTGACCGAGCAACCCAACATTCCTACCAGCTCCCTCCGCAGGAATGTGTTTATCTCAACGTGTACACTCGCACTTTCTCCTTACAGTCCCCTACACATGTCCTGCAGATGTAGCCTGTGAAGTTTAGAAAAAGCTGCCCGCTTGTACTTTGGCTTAGGCTCCACACACGCACAGCTGCCCTACTGGAGTCGGCTGACAGTTGGTGGCGCTTTCACGATGCCTCATCATTCAATATAAACTATGAAGCTATTTTACCAGGTAAGGTCCACTGAGCTATGCAGCTCTTTTTTAGAAGCGACCTGGCCACAAATGATGGCTCGACGAAGTGGCTCATGTGTACATGTATAGCAGCCAAAAACTCTTAAATGCAAATTGATTCTAAATGTCAAAGGAAAAACCAGAGGTGGCGGAGAAAAAGCCACGTGACCACGGGAAGAGAACATGCAAACTCCAAAATTTCAACATGCGTCAGAGTCGGAATCGAACCCACACCCTCCTGTATACCAGGAACGAGGTATTTAACATCTCACCACTGTGGCGCCTTTGAGTTCCAGTCAGTTTTCCTACCACAAGCAGGACCCCCCGCAAGGGAAGCGAAATGATTTACACTTCCAGGGTAAAAAAAAACACCCCAATGCTGATGAAATGGTCAGGCACAATCTTGATTTGAAGTTTTCGTGACTGCAGGAATCCATACTCTTTGGTTCTTTCGGTAAAGTCACGTAGGTAGAAAAAGCACTAGATCATGACGTTTCGATCGCAACACAAGCAATCGTCATCAGGTAGGACAACCACAGCAAGAAAAAACTGCTGAAGTAGGCGAGAGATCTGCCGTGGTGTTCAGGTACACCTATTTTTTAACACTTATGTCCAGGGGACATTGAAACATTTGGAAAGATTTCCACTTTTAGTTGTTACCTAAAATGAAATCCATGATTCTGGTCACAATCTCACTTTCTGATGGCTAAAGCTGAACGTTTATAGTACAAGTATATCGGTGCTAAATTAATTGGCAGGAATGTAGAGCACACATCACGGCTGTAACGGATAAAAAAAATTCTGCACAATACTAAACACATGTTGCACTAACAATAGAAGAATATCCAGATTAAAAAAGAACACACGACTTAGTGGTTCCTGTTGATTAGGTTTGAGCCAGCTGTTGCTCTGAGCCTTCTGATCAAATCAGAGTTTACCAATGTCTTTGTTGGATATGCAACCGTGCCACACACACACAGGACACGGGGCCTGGGGAAGGTCTAAATTAATTATTACCGAGCACGGAAAGGCTGTCAGCGATTATATGCTCCAGAGGATACACCTTTAGCAAAGCTGGGGCAATAGTGCAGGTTAATTATTGAGCTTGCAGATCAATTACCTCTCAAATGAACAACGCAGGCAAACAAAATTAGACAGCGGAGGCATCATCTAGCCATAGCTGTAAAAAAACAGCTTAACATGTACAGTGCAATGTCTTAGTAACATGATCTAGCTGGTATTACTGACGGTCGTATAGTTTATATAACTAACTGCCTGCCTGGCTGTCATATCTCTGGAGGTTATGTTGGGTCCTCTTTGGTTCTTTCGGTAAAGTCACGTAGGTATAAAATAAATTAAATTGCCAGTTGTTGATTAAATCCAAATGACGCAGGGAGCTTACTCATAGTGTTCAGGAGTAGTAACACGTTACAAGCCAGCACATTACTGCCACCAGATTAGCCAAGGTAGGTACTGGTAAACTTGTTAGTGCATAATTTGGTTACGGTTACTTAGCGCGATTACTTTTTTTATGATTACTTTCTCAAAGTTTGAAGATGATTGCAAAAATAATTAAAAGGGGGAAATTATGGTGTCAGCGGCTTTGGTCGACGTGAGGAGAGCAGCACCCGACGCACAGAGATCGCCGTACCAAGCCCACGGTCACAGGAATGTGCTCTTACTTCTGACGCGAATACAATACTCGTTCGTTTGAAGAACGCGACCTTTGCGTTTTAAAATACCAAATATTAGGTTACACTGCGTCATTTCTAAAACGCCGAGCAATCATTAATCGGACGGGACCCGATTACTTGCCAAAGAGTAACCTCCCAACGCTTGCCCGATCGCGCAAAGATGTCACCGTGGTGCTACAAAGGCACGGCCCTGTGCATTGGTGGCACGGGCGACACGAGGGACCGGGGCAGTGCCAGGGTTGCCAAGGGGTGGCGGCAAGGCACGGCCGAGCCCGCCTGGATGGTGGCCATCCTCTACGCCGTGCAGGTGAGTCGTACGTTCTGCTCCGCTCTGCGCGCACTGACATATTTTGCTGTCTTTTCTTGGATTTTCTGTTTGCACATAGTCACTTTAAGATGTTTTTTGTTCATGTTTTTGTTTGTTGTTGCGGTTGCACCCGATTCAAGAGCCGAATGGCTCACAGGGCTATACCTAATGAATGAAACTTGAAACATTGGCCTGTGCAGGTCGTTTGTCGCGGTCTTAAACGAGCCAGAAGGAACGCGGCTGGAACGCGGCTGCCCCTCTGTGGGCTAAGGGCTGCCGCAGGGCGATGCCTCTATCTCGTGGATGGATGTGTGTAGTGGATGTTGAACTCCTTTCGCACCGTACGTAGCCAACCGCGCTAATCGGAGGTGTCGGGGAAGGACGGCGAACTGAACACAAATAGCAGTTCTAAAGAAATGAGTTTTGAATCTAGATTTGCATCGCTCAAGCGGCTTTCTAATACCGTTACATCGCGGGAACCATCTGTGCTCGATGTTGTCTGGTCCCGTCGCTTTCACAGCTTTGGTGGTCAATAAGGTGGACTCAAATTCAACTCTCGTGTAAGAGGATGAGAGCTGGGATGCGGCTGAGCACTTGGTTGCCTAAATAGGCTTCTCTTTGCGACCGTTGGTGTTCTGGAGAGGCCCGTTGTCCACTGCATTGGCCAGGCCATTTGAGTGGTCGGTGCCGGGAAGGCTTAGCCATCCCAAGGGTCCACAGCAGATTCCACGCTTCATGGCAGGAACGTGCGAACATGAGATTCTCAGCGGTTTCTCGCCGGGCCGAGTCGAGATATCTTTGCATTGCCTTGTCCGCTTTGTGCTGCCCCCCAGCAGTGCCTCCGTTTTAGGGAGCCAACACGGCTTATCGACTTTTCGATGGCCGTGGGGATGTTATATCCGGCAGAGAGTTTGATGATTTGACAGAAAATCTGTGGGTCAGTTTCGAGGCTCTTGATGCTGTCCTCGATTTTGGCTGTGGATCTCGGACCTCAGTGTGAATCACGGATGGGCGATGCTGGCTGTGCATGTAAATCAGGCAGGATTGTTTTGGGTCACTATTTTAAAACAATGTTGTATTTGACCAGGTAAAGCCCACTGAGCTTTGTAGCTCTTAATCAGAAGCGACCTGGCCACGAATGATAGCTCAAGCAAGTGGCTTATCACGTGGAACTTTATAGCAGTCAAATACTCTCAACGCGTGTTGATTCTTTGGGTCTTTCGGTAAAGTCACGTAGATAGGTTAAAAAAATAATAAAAATAAACAAAAAACTCACAAGCGACCGTCATCAGGAGGGAAAAGGGGAGGAACGCCACTAAACGAAAGCTGTTTATATATTTATTCTAAATGTGGAGGGAAAGAGCAGAGGACCGCGATAAAATCCACGTGACCACGGGGAGAACATGCAAACTCCAAATACACCAGGCAAGGTAGTTAACATCTCATCACCGTGGGTCGCGTACTCGCGTGCAGAGGCGCTGTCCGTTCCTCTCCGCAGGTATGAAACAGAGATCGTTGTTGTAGTCTCTCGGCCACCTACTGGACCGCAAGGCATAGCTTGTATGTACTGTATGTATGTTCAACTTCTTTTGCACCGTACGTAGACAACCGTGCTAATCGGAGGTGCTTCGGGTAAAACAGGAGGTCGGGCATTGGGTCTGCGGCGGACGATCCCGATCGGCGAGTCTGTTTGCCTGCCTTGTTGTTTTTTTGGCGTAAGCCCCACACACCGGCTGTGGCGGCTGACCAAAAGTCGGTGTCGGAATTGGGCCCCTCCACAACTGCCCAGAGGGGCCCCTCCTCCGACTCGTCTCGACCCCACTCGTCTCCCGGCAGCACGTGCTGCTGCTCGCCGCCTCCCTGCAGGCGAGCTACCTCCTGCTGCTGCCCTCCCCAGCGGCCGGCGTCGGTGGCCCCGGCTCGCGTCGCTCGGCTCTGCACGCGGACGGCCCGTGGCCCAGTCCCCAGCTGCTGGCCACGGGCTTCTTCTGCTCGGGCCTCTCCACGCTCGTGCAGCTCACGCTGGGCTCCAGGTAACCAGGGCGCCGCCGTGGTGAAATGTTAACTACCTCGCCTGGTATACAAGGAGGTAGTTGTGGGTTCGACCCCGAGCCTGGCGTCTATATATTTGGAGTTTGTGGTGTGTCTCTCTCCCCGTGGATGCACGGATTTTTCTACGGGTCCTCCGGGTTGTTCCTCCAAATTTAGGAATATGCGTTTAGAGTATGTGGCTGCGATTCCACGTGATAAGCCACTTCGATTAGCTATCCTTTGTGGCCAGATCACTTCTGAAACAAATAGCTGTATAGCTCAGTGCGCCTTACCTCGTAAACAAAAATAGTTTAGGTGCAGACGCTCACCCTTGCTGAGCAACTAAAGTCTCGACCACGTCCGCTCGGTACGAGATCACTGCTTCCTCTCTGCTGCTCACCAAGGCTGACACTGTTCCCCCACTGGTCGTCTTCACGGCTGAGGTTTTATTTCTCATGGAGAATTTGTCAGGCGCACAGTTTTCGTTCATCCCGAGAGACAATGACCAGAGGCGCGATAAACCACAGACAAGCGGGAACGCAGCCAGAGTTGGCGCCTACAATTTCCAAAGTTACGTCAAGTATATGTATGTATGTTGAACTGTCCCGCGCTAATCGGAGGTACACGAGTACGGTTTGGTTGTCGGTGTTAACGAGTGCCTGTCGCCCTCCAACAACAACGGGAGAACAAGTGGAGCGACGCTTACAACAACGAGCGGAGCACCGGGCGGCTTAAACGCAGCAAGTTTGCACGGATTATCTTAGTAGCAAAAGTAGCGACATATCCTACGGGCCCCGCACTTTCAAGGGGCCCGCGCTAAATGCTTTCAAGCTATCAATTCCGGTTCAGTGATTCTGCACTTGCTCTATTCCTATGGTACTATACTGCCTTCAACTTTTATGAACGACTGGGTGTTTAAGATTAGCGATTTGTCGTATTATCTGGCTGTATAGAAAATGAAAAAATACAATTACTTTACTATGCTAGTGTCGTGACTGTGATTGTCACTGTGTGGTGCCGGGCTTACGAAGCCACGGTGAATAATATGTTGTCATTATGTGCAGCCCGCTTACTGGGCGTAGTGCCAGCCCTAGCGGGGCTTGGGTGAGCGCTGGTTAGCGCGGAGGCACCGCGTGCAGTGTGCGGTGCGGGCTCCCGGTGAGGGAGCGAGAGGGAGCATCAGCCAGACAGGGTTACGTTGGGGCATGATACGCTGGTTGACCTGCTGACATGTGACCGGATGATATTGGAGGGGGGCCACCGGTGGATGGAGGCTGCTGGGCGGTCACGTGGTCTAAAATAGCTCTCGGGAGCCTTCGAGAAAGAGCTCGAGAGAGATCTGGAAGGTGGGCGGGGCGAAGGGCGGAGCCAGCCCCAGCTCGGGGTTCTTCGTGTGCTGGTGTGAAGAAGATCCACGTGGGGGAGAAGAAGCCTCTAGCCACGCGGTCCGGGACCCAGCTTGTGGTCCGGGCCGGGATAGCGAACCGTGTCTAGTTCTGCCGTAGCATGGTTAGATGGGCATTCAAGACGCGAGTGAAGATTGTGTGATGTTGCGTTAAGTTGCGGAATAAATAGTATTGCTCCCAAGATAACGTCTGCGACTCAGTTGAACTCACTACACAAAAAAAAAATTAGGGCCCCTTTATAATATATGCTACAGGCCCCGCACTAGCTTAATCCGGCACTACATCTACCAGTCATCCCGGTCAATCAATCCATGACACCTGGGTCTGTCCCGTGACCCCCTGCGAGCAACGAGCCTTCGACACTTCACGTGACCTCAGAGTGCACCTAGCCTGGCACATGCGCCGTGGCGACGTCACAGCCACTTAGTGGCGAATAGCGGCTGTTGTTGTTGTCTGCCCTGTCCCCGAGTTCAACTTCCACTGTCTAAGGGGAAGGGTCGCGCTGTGTGTAGGTTGCCCGTGCTGCAAGGGGCCTCCACAGGGGCCTCGGCTCCGCTGCTGCTGCTGCTGGGCCGCTACTCATCCTGCCCCCCCGGCGACGCGGCATGTTCCGCGCAAGCCGCGGGTACGTGGCGGCGTGATCGAGGGTGGAAGGGCAACGGCGGGGAGCGAGTGGTGGGGGGGGGGGGGCAGTCTCAGCGTTGACACGTGGGAGACGCACGCGGAGACAGCGAGACGCGGAGAGAGGGAGACAGACTGGGAGACAGACGTGGCCGCAAAGAGAGACACGGATAGTGGACACGGTTGCAAACAGATGCGCTGACGCGGAGACAAACGCAGAGCTACCAAGAGACAGAGAGGCACAGAGACCGATAGAGGCGCGGATACAAGCAGAGACATACTGGGGGACAAACGACGATACGTCGATATTAATTATTGATTACAGTTTATTGCAATGGGTGGGGGTAAGTGCCCTGTTCCTACATTCGTCAATGTTGAATCACACAAAAATGTGTCTGCTCATGTGAGCATGGGGCAATGCTCATCTCAACCACTGTTGACTATCCACTGTGGCAATCATACACCAACATAGAACAGATGATGGGCTTAGGCTACCCCTGGGCTGGGAATTGAATTTCGAACCTTCTGGTTGTGAATCCGGCACCATAAACACGGCACCTACCTTCTGGGATATCATTACGAATAGAAGTTACGCAGCAATTAGTAACGAATCTGTCTCTGTGTGTTACTTGTTCCTAACCACATTAGGTACCAATAACAGCAACTCCAGCATCAATGCCACAGCCAACTACGAGTGGCCAGAGCGTGCCGGGGAGGTGAATGAAATGCACTCAATACCATAACCCCACAGCAGAAACTTAAGTAGTCACGTGGAGAACATGCACACCCCAAATATACAGCAGCAGGCGTCAGGGTCGGGATCGAACCCACGACCAGGCGAGGTAGTTAACATCTCACCACCGAGGTGTTATTTCTTTAGTACTGTATATTATTACAGGCAGTGCCGGATTATCCATGTAGCAAAAGTACCACACAGCTACGAGCCCCGCACTTTCAAGGGCCCCGCGCTAAATTATTTCAAGCTGTCAATTCCGGTTCAGTGATTCTCCACTTTCTCTATTACTATAGTACTATACTGCCTTCAACGTTTATGAACGACTGTGCGTTAAAGGTTAGCGATTTGTCGTATTATCTGGCTGTATAGAAAATGAAAAAATACAATTTACTATGCAAGTAAAAAAAATGTGTTTTAATATTTATTTAGGGCCCCTTCATAACATATGCTACAGGCCCCGCACTAGTTTAATCCGGCACTGATTATAGGGTTAAATCCATCCCGGTTAATCGTTGGGCATAGCTTTCCTGGTGGATCGCGGAGCCCGTTGAGATTCACCAAAGTGGATCGCAGTGCTCGTTGTCAAGCTTACAAATTTGTTCTCAATGGGGAAGCTTATTCAAAAGTGGAAGCAGAATGTAATCATTAGATGGCGCACAATACAGTGACATACATATGGGGTGGTGTCCAGATTGGCCAATGGAAGACAAGCTTCTTCACTTCTGACCAACTGGTGTTGAGACAATAGTTTAGTTGCGATCAGTGCTTGATTAGGCTTCTAGCCATTCGTCGAAAAGTAAATGTATAAGTCCCTGTCATGAAACCTCTTCATCCTGCAGCCCGTGTTCACTGACATATCCCCTCTGCAGAAACATCATAGTACTGTAGAGGAATTGGAAATTGTTTTGAGAAGTGCCAGTATGGCATGTAAACAATTGCTCGGAGGGATTGTGGCCGATAGCCAGCACGACTGAGTGTGCAGCCAAAGGAGGCGGTTCGTGTCGGAGCACACATCCACCGCGGAGATGGAGCAAAAGGAGCAGCGATGAGATCCGCTCGTGTGTGCAATGTCGTGCAGCTGGGCGGGGCGCTGCTGCTGTCCGGCCTGGTGCAGGTGCTTCTCGGGGCCCTGGGGGCTCCGGCACGGCTGGCCGTGCTGTGTGGGCCCATGGTGCTGGCGCCCGTACTCTGCCTTCTCGGTTTGGCCGGATACCAGCACACGGGCGAACTTGGCGGCAGCCACTGGGGTCTTACTGCCGGGTAACTACAGCCACATACCGTTCCGTCCGTTCGTCCGTCCATCTGTCCACTTGGGTTCAAGAAAATGTCCCGGTGGTCTGTCCTGGTTTCCTAAAGCATTTGTGAAAATCGGGATTATATATTCTGGTCTCGTGCTATGACATCGTGTCTCTGGAGTCGATAAAAACGAGTACCGCGTTGTGGCAAGACATCAGTGGTTGATTCCGGTCGAGAGCGACCCCTTAAATGGTAATGTGGAATTTCCAGCGCTTTGACTCTCTGGACTCGGTGCCTTGACAGTGGTGTCGTCCGCAGGGGAACGCTGCTGCTGGTGCTCCTGTCCCAGCACATGGAGAGGCATCGCCCTGCACAAGGGAAGGCGGGACCTCTCCGTCAGCTGTGGGCAGTGCCGGCTGCTTGTCGGAAACTCTCGGTATGGCACGAAACGCGCCGCCACTCCGCGTCCTCGGTCGCCTCGCCTCCCTTCGAGTACGCGCAACGGTGCGGCACGGTGCTTGGCACGCTGCAATGTGAACCCGCCAACCTGCTCACGGCTAGCAGCAGCGTTGGCGAGTGACATCTAAAACTGATCCTGGGCCTTCATTCACCAACCTGCACGCACCAGCGTGATGAAGCATGGGCAAACAGCCCCCATGACTGACACGGCATGGGGAGGCCTTCATGCAGCATTTTTAAAAATGTAAATTCTAATAAAATCATATATTAGTGTTACATTTAAGATAATATAATGGAAAATGTGACGTAATTTTCATAGTTTAAGCATTACACACAACAGATCAATGTCCGTGTTGCTGTGTGAATTGTGCTGTCCACTTGTCCAGGTTGTTATGTGTGCATTGTCCTGGTCACTGTGTGGGTCACTGTGCTCGCCGGCAGGTGCTGCTCACTGTTGCTCTGTGCTGGGCTCTCTGCTCTGCTCTGCCCTCACTCTCCTTGCCGCCCGGCCACTCGCAAGACGACGGAGCGGCCACTGTGGCCTGGCTCAGCCTGCCCTATCCAGGTAAAACTCCACTAAACTATTTTTCTTTTTACCAGGTCAGGCCCAGAAGCGATCTGGCCACAAATAATAGCTCAACAGAGTAGCTAATAACTTGGAAATTAATAGCAGCCAACACTCTAATCGCACATTTCTACACATGGAGGGGAAGAACCGGAGGACCTGGAGAAAATCCATGCAACCACGGGGAGAACATGCAAACTCCAAATATACAGGAGTCAGGGTTGGGATCGAACCCACGTCCACCTGTTTACCAGTCAAGGTAGTTAACATCTCCTAGCCACTGTGGCACCCCAGTGCACGGCCACCAACTGCCTCCGCCTCTTGGAGCATGTGGCCTAGGGTTGCCACGTGTTCCACAGACCAAACTCGGACACGTGTCTCGGTGGGCCGAGGTCTATCAACACGATGCAGTGGATGGTAATTAAGTCGATTCCTGACACCCTGGACTCTTCTGGTAGTATACCTGGATCAGTGGCAACACTAACGCAGCTTCATGTTACATACGTATAATACATTGAAGTATGATAAAGCAACCCTCATGACGGACACAACATGGCAAAGGAACTTTACATTTTATATGTTTTAATTAAGATTCATGACGGGGCCATATTTTAATCGTAAAACACTACCCCATCCAAGTTGACCCAACTTTGTTCATTGTTTCGTTACATTTTTTCATTTAGACACTAAAGGACGTAATGTGTTTATGGGATGTAAGAAAAAAAACCTGTTAGAGTCGTATAATAATGATGAAATGGTGGTCACGGTGGTCGTTAAGTATTTCCAGCGTTCATTCACAGTGGGGTGCCGACTGGACTCGCTACTCGTGCTGGGTGAAATGGCCGTGACGATGAATACAGCCACGTCAAACATGGCCCATTACCTGCTGCGCTGTTGCGAAGTCAAAAGAACATACCCTCCCCCACTGTGCTTGGTAAATCAGTCACTTCTGCGTGGTCAGAATTGATATCGACGAATAGGACAATCATTACCCCACTCTCCTATCTAATTGTAAAAAAACAACTTTACTGTCAAATCTAGATATCTGTAGGCCTATTTAGCATTTCCATAATCGTCATCATCAGAAACAATCTGTCCACTGCTGGATGTAATCACCATTTGCTCGTATACTAGAGCTGATCTAATCTCTCCATTGCCTTGGTAGTTGCCGACTTTGGGCAAGTTCCATCATTTGGCTGCCATTCTCTCACCAGCCTCATCCCTTAGCCATTTTCCAAATCTATCCATAATGCGTCCTAGCCCAAATCGACTATCTACGAATTTGCATTTGTTCTATGATCGATGTGTTCGTTTTTCTGCCTTTCGGTGTAATTCCCAGCATGTATCTCCAAGTTTTTCTTGTACACTTTAAACAACAACTAAACATTTCCATGGCTCAGCGCTGTGAACAGGTGATGGGCATTGCCTCAATGCTTTGTTGAGCAGGGAATGACTTTGGACAGTTTGTATTTTGGTAATATTTTTTAAATATTGTTTTTGCTCCCTACGCCGTTTGGGCTTTCGTTGTTGTGTCAGTCATGAAACCATCAATATTCTATTCATAACCCTTGCAGCAATCACTACATCACCTTGTGTCAGAGGACATACTACTTCTAAAATCGCTGAAATGGACATTAAATTCAGTGAAAACCCACGTTTTACGTGATGGGTGTGTTTTTGTGCAGTCCTTGGTAACTTGGCTGAGACCATCAACTCACTGCCCTTGAGAACCTGATTTAATCACAGATGGCTGAAACGCAGAGGGGAATCCAGGATTTAAGTGGTGCTGGCTCAGTGCACTGACTTGGTATTTATTACCTGAGACACCTTGGCCATTTTGAAAGCGAAATATTCTAAAGTGCTGTGGTTAGAGCCTGCAGTTCAAGTTCAAGTTCGTGTATTTGGTATAGCCCTGTGAGCCATTCGGCTCTTGAATCAGGTGTAACCGCAACAAACAAAAAACAAAAACATGAACAGGAACACATCTTAAAGTGAATATGTGACTAAGTGCAAACAGAAAATCCAAGAAAAGACAGCAAAATATTGCAGAAAAAGCACCGTACATCAACGCTTTGTGCAAAAATCCCAGTGGGATGCAAGTCAAACAACAACAACAACAACCACAAGACAACTTAGATTAAGGCCATCAGTCTTACTCCGTACTACAACAAACAAACATGGCTAAACCAATTAACTTTTCGAAATCACCAAAATAAAGCCATGAAAGAAATGAAACAGTGATCATAGGAACTGTTACAGAGCCATACAGAGAGAGAGACGGCGGAGCCCCCTTGTACGCGCACGTGGTGTTGCACGTGACACGGTGATGTTGCACATGGCATGGTGGTCATCAACGCGAGGCATCGTGACGCGATCGCCACCTGGTGGCTCTGTCTGCCATTGCTACTCACGATTGCTCGGCACTTGCAGAGCCATGTTGGAAATTCACTGCTGAATGAAGGCCGCTCCACTCGGATCGTGGGACCATTTGACCATAATTCATCATGAATAGGGGCAGGCGGCTAGGAACGGTTCAGATACCACTAGCCATTGATGTTTAGCCGTGGCCATAAATTAAACAGAGGTTGTTAGCACAAACTACGGTGGTGGTCATTTCTTAATGGCAGTCATGAGCCAAGTGTAAAATCTCAATTTAGGTAACAGATATCAGTGGGATTCATAGGACAATCATTGTTGACTTCTAGCCAGGTGATAGCACCTCATCAGATGGGTGCTTATTTGACTGAACTCGGAGGGATGATGTTGAAAATGTTGACGATAATGCCATTGATGGGGTGAAGTCAACCCTCGCCGGGATTTTAACTTGGGAAACCCCACGATTTGGAGCACGACTGCTTGACCAACTGAGATTTCCCTTACGAAGGTTGGGAATCGAAATCCTGGCCAGGGATTGCCTACGTCTATCATTCCTCTGGGGTAAATAGCATAATTAGCGTTTAGTGAGAAGTCAACAGTTTTGCTCTTATAAATAAACGTATCTTTACTGTGGTAATGTAGAATTTTCACCGACGTTCCAGGACTGCCAAACAAACTAAACACCACCCAGTGCTCGTTTTGAACGACACAAGACACTTCGGCTTCGAGATCAACAAGAAAACGATGATAACGGTGACTTATGATGACAACGATTATGGGGGCAGCGGGCGTTGCTGGCGGTCACGGTGATCACCCGGTCCGCACTGCGCTCATCGCGTGCAGGCCGCATGGGCTGGCCGGTGCTGAGCGCCGACGCGACGCTGGCGGGGCTGGTGCTGGCCGCAGCGAGCACGGCGGAGACGCTGGGCTGCTACGTGCTGGCGACGCGACTGCTCCGCTCGCCGGCTCCGGGCGCGAGCGCCGCCTCGCGCGGCCTCGCCGCGCAGGGGCTCGGCTGCGCCGTCTCGGGGCTGCTGGGATCTCCGGCCGCGGCCGCCGCTAGCCTGCCCAACGCCTGTGCCCTGGGGCTCACCGCCGTGAGTGTGTGGACGCCCCTGATGAGGTTAAACGAAACCGCTAAACTATGTATTTTTTTTTACTTCGCCAGGTAAGGCCCGCTGAGCTGTGCAGCTGGGTTTTTTTTCTTCCCAGAAGCGACCTGGCTATCACAAATGATAGCTTATCGTCACGTGGGAATTTACAGCAGCCAAATACTCTAAACGCACGTCGATTCGAAATGTGGAGGGAAAAACCGGAGGACCCGGAGAGAAATTCACGCTACCACGGGGAGAACACGCGTACTCCAAATGTATAGGCGTCAGGGTCGCGATCGAATCCACGACCTCCTGCATACCAGGCGAGGGAGTTAACATCTCCTAACCACCGTGACGAGGCCAGCGCCTGTTGCCCAGCTGTCTTTGGACTGGCTGAATGCGTGGGATAGGCCAAAAAGAAATGCCGCATGGGTTTGTATTTATTTATATAAAACATGTTGTGGGTTTACTCTCCAACACACCGGTGTGCTGAAGCAGTATCTAATTGGGACATTTTGTTTACGTGACAAACCTTACTAATTGGCTGTGTTGGGTGGTGGTGGATTAACGACACATTTATATTCACACGATATAACCTATACAACCTTTATTATGAATGTTTCTGCGCTGATTCGTTATTTTCATATAATTACACCGAATCAACATTTGTGAACCGGCAGAAGTCCTCCTCCAACAAGCCAACCCCAACGCCAGATCAAACGCTCGCCTAAGGACATCTGATGCCCTTGAGGATCACTTTCTAGGAAGCCAGCAGTTGTTATGCTCTGGACAATCTGGCCCCCACCATATGAATGTGCGATCAACGCCACTGCATCGGCAACATTGAGATGGGCACCGGACAATGTGTTTGAACCCGGCGACACGTTTACTCTTTTTTCTCGTAATGACCTTATTTATATTCTCTCAACCTCCCCGCCATAACCCTCACACCCCCCACGCAACCATTTCCCCGCACCCCCATCACCGCCGCACTCCAACTCATCATCCCTCCATTGGACGGGGGGGGGGGGTGTTCGGCAGGAGGGCAGCCGTCGGAGCGTTCTGCTGGCAGCCGTGCTCTGTCTGCTGCTGGGAATGAGTCCTCGTTTCTCAGCGTTGCTCGCCTCACTCCCCCTGCCCGTGCTGGGTGCGTACGCACTGCCTCCAAACGCCCGACACCACTCGGCACAAACCAGCACTCCCGGCATGTAACGCTCGGCTAACAATTCGATAAATTGTCACGAATCACGGTTGGCATTCCATTCAAGAAATAATTTTTCGTTTTACTCGTTCATACTGCCTCGTTTATATGGTTTCTCTACAATGCTCGTCGACGTTTTTAAACAATATTGTGTTTTTTTTCCGCTAATGCCCCATGGTGCAGACAGAGGGCACTTACCGATAACGTCTTGTAAACCCACAGTAGCTGATAACTATCAAGGGGCTGATGCTGCTCAGAAGAGCAACGCCGGTCAAGTTTGTGTATTTCGACAAGTGCCGCCGGATAACATGTCTGCAGTAACAGACTCCGGCAGAACTCGGTGCTCCACACACCGACTCGCGCGCGTGTGTGCGGCACTTGCAGGCGTGGTGCTCGGAGTGACGCACAGCGTGGCGGTCGGTGCTGGGATCTCCTACTTCCAGTACTTGGACATGGACTCGGGACGGTGCATCTTCATCGTGGGCTTCTCCCTCTTCATGGCGCTGCTACTGCCCCGCTGGATGCAGGACCACGCGCAGAGCATTGCCAGTGGTACGGCCGCGCCGTTCGGGTTGCGTCCCGGACGGCATCCGCGTTGGCGCTCACCTGTGATCTCGGTGCGAGTGTGGATGTGGTTGGTCGAATAGAAATTGAGCGTGATGGGTTGTTGTTTTTTTTCCCGCGTGGTCATTGGTGACCGCGCTGAGATCATCAGCTCACTCGGCTTGAGAACCCACTTTAATCACGGGTGAGTGAGGCTCAAATTCAAACCCACGATCTTGGTCGTGTTATCTCAGTGCATTGTTTAAAACTACTTTTATTTTGTTTTAACCAGTTAAGGTCCACTTAGCTATGTAGCCCTTTTTCAGAAGCTACCTCGCCACAAATGATAGCGCAACCAAGTAGCTTATCACGTGGAAATGTATAGCAGCCAAATACTCTAAACGCGTATTTTGTAAATGTGGAGGGAAAAACCGGAGGACCCGGAGAAAAATCCACGTGACCACCGGGAGAACACGCAAACACGTGCTCGTGTTGGCGTGCCTGTCTCAGCGGGCATATGTTAGCGTCTGCATTTTCGTGTGTGGGTGTGAATACAGTGCGCGTTTGTGCCTGCGTGTCCATGTGTATGTGGGCCCTTGGCTGCGCGTGGGATCGCGGTTGTTGCCTCTGTGTGCTCACATCTGCGTGTCTGTGCGCGCGTGGTGCACTCCTGCGCAGGGCGCGCGTGGTACAGCCCCCTCCAGTCGCTGCTGCGCACGCCCGTACTCCTGGGAGGCGCCATGTCCCTGTTGCTGGACACTACCGTGTCAGGTACACTGGGATCAATCGACGGGAGGAAAGGATTCGGACCCCAACGTGAAACGATCGACCACGGTTACACGTGCGCGATAACTTCCCATGTAGGAAACTCACGCGAAAGGTGCCACCCGACGGAGATACGCGTCGAGTGTGGATGTGCGCACACATTGAGACGTGTGTGTGCATGTATGTATGGCGAACTTCTTTCACACCGTACGTAGCCAACCCGTGCTAATCAGAGGTGCGGGAGACATCGCGGGTGCAGAACGAGAGCAAAGAGCTATGACGAAGGTGTTGGGAAAATCAGGGGGGAGCTACTCAAGTAAGGGGAATAAAAGACAATAATGGTAAAATGCAGAACGGGAGGAAGCATCAGGGGACATGGATGGAGCACTTTCCAAGATTGATATGATCCCTGTAATACCACGGACCTGACGGTGTTCAGCACAATATTGGCTCAACCTGCCGTCAATGACCGCAGCCAAGACTTACTAAGAGAGGATTTGGTCACAGCAGGTGGCAGCGTTATCATGGAGGAAAGCTACTCCGCAGAGCGGGAACACAGTAGACTATCCTTCTCGCCACGCCATGCACAGGAGCTGCTTATAAAGGCACCAGTAGCCAATCCAATGGATCTTGCATAAATAACTTCGCCATGATATCAGTTTCACATTCAGCGTTGGTAAACCTTGTTTTATGACCCTACACCAATGGGGACTAGGCTCTAAAGAAAGCCGTCTCGGGTGTGGGCCAATCAACTTCAAGGACAGTGCATATTATCATCCTTATCAGAGTTGCTTCTTTTTGTTTGCTTTTTTGACTACTTGTGTTGTGGTCATTGCAAACATGATGCCTTGAATAAAGGTGTCAGTTTTGTACCAGTTAAAAGGGTAAAAACCTACTATTATATTTTGCCACTGGTAAAAGAGATCTCATAGTGTAAATGCTTACCCCGAGCTCTCAATACTCTGATATTGCACTGTGTTTGAGTTGTACGCCTTCTGGTGTCATCTGGCCCTACACCAATGGGGACTAGGCTCTAAAGAAAGCCGTCTCGGGTGTGGGCCAATCAACTTCAAGGACAGTGCATATTATCATCCTTATCAGAGTTGCTTCTTTTTGTTTGCTTTTTTGACTACTTGTGTTGTGGTCATTGCAAACATGATGCCTTGAATAAAGGTGTCAGTTTTGTACCAGTTAAAAGGGTAAAAACCTACTATTATATTTTGCCACTGGTAAAAGAGATCTCATAGTGTCTTGTTTTATGGGTTACCTTCCCCGTCTTTAAACTGAAAACGGGATCTACGTGATTGGCCACCAATACCTTCAGAACCCAATACCTGCTCGGGCACAAGAACAATTCCACTGACGAAGGCTGTATTGCTGCAAGCATGGAGCAGCCCACGTCGATGCCGCGTCGGGCTAGAAGCTTGCCACACGCACGCATGGACCCGTCGTGGAAGCTGTCCCCGCACTGTGTGACCACCAGGCACGCCCGAGGAGCGGGGTCTCTTCGCGATGCGCCTGGCCCAGGATCTTCAGGGCGGACCCGGGAGGCCGGCTACTCGCAGTGCCGCGCGCGGTCGCTGGGCGGCGCTGCGCTGTGCGACCTTCCGTGCCTTTGTGACGTCACGATCCGCCTCCAGGGCTGCCCGAGCCAACGGGCATCGCCCGGCGCCGGGAGACGCGGCCCCCGTTCACGAGATGCAGTCGCTGGCTCGGGGCGCGAGCTCCAACTGCTGACGCGCGGAGCTACAGCGCAAGTGCCTGTTGATGACCTTCGTCTTGTTATGTAACAGTACAGGCGACTATGGTGGATTTTTTTTTTGGTTCGGAGCTCTGGCTCGAATATGAATGTAATGATTAATCAAATGATAATGAATTCAAACTAGATTCGAAGCTTTCGTGACTGCAGGAATGATTCTTTGGTTCTTTCGGTAAAGTCACGTAGAAAGAAATTAAATTAAATAATAATAGAATGCGACGTTTCGATTGCAACACAAGCAACCATCATCAGGTACAAATGAATGGGAAAACAAACATAGTAAACTTGGAAATATAATGCAAATACAACACAGAGAGTCGGCCAACACAACAGTCAACACCCCACCTGGTTGATTACGTTCCTCGAAAGATTGCTAAATTTGAGAGAGACACAACACATAGACACACAGATAGACACACAAGCAGAGAGAGAGACTCACACAGAGACAAACAGAGAGAGACTCACACATGGGCAGAGAGGGGGGGGGGCAGAGGGGGAGTTGTGTGGAATCCCTGCCCATAGCGGCCAGAGTAGAGAATGGACCCATAAACAAGCACGGAACAAGCACGGTAGAAATCAGGAATTCCACACAACGCTCCGTGCTTGTTTATTTAGATGTCCAGTGCCCAGCTCGTCCATCCGCTTTGGGTAGGAATTCCACACAACTTCCCCTCTGCCCCACCCCCCACTCTCTATTTAAGGCCTCGACACAGAGACGTTGTCTTTCTGTGTGCCCATGTGTGTGACTCTCTCTGTTTGTCTCTATGTGAGTCTCTCTCTGCTTGTGTGTCTGTCTGTGTGTCTCCGTGTCTATGTTTTGTCTCTCTCTCAAATTTAGCAATCTTTGGAAGAACATAATCAACCAGGTAGGGTGTTGACTTGTGTTAGCCTACTCTGTGTTTTATTGCATTGTATTTCCAAGTTTACTATGTTTGTTTTCTCATTCATTTGTACCTGATGATGGTTGCTTGTGTTGCAAACGAAACGTCGTATTCTAGTATTATTTTATTTAATTTCTTTCTACGTGACTTTACCGAAAGAACAATATAATTATAATGAATTGTTATGCTTGGGTCAAGTCGCGTGCATACGCATTTGTTATTTATGAGAAATGCAAATTTTACGCAAATACAACCTTCATGGGGGATGGAGTAGTATCACAGTGGTTAGCGTACTGCACTGTGAACCCGGTCAGCTAAGTTAAGTTCCCGGCTGCAGGTAATATTACTGCCAAGTGAGATCTTAATCACATCTGCCCCTGCCCCCCCCCCCTCCTCTCTTGACCAACAACCCCCACTGACCAGCGTGGTGAGGTATGGTCAATTCATCCCAATGACCAACAATGGTGTATAACACCTTCATCCACCAGTAGACAGATAAAGGGTTGTGACTTTAATGAATTATTATTATTTTAAATCTTGACTGAAAGCTTTCATGACTGAAGGAATGAATATTCTTGGGTCTTTCGGTAAAGTCACGTAGAAAGGTTCAAAGAAAATAACAAAAATAACAAAAAAACTACGACGTTTCGATCGCAACACAAGCAATCGTCATCAGGAGAAAAAAGAGCGGGAAAGCTGCTGAGGCAATGCTACGAGTGAGACAGAACAAAAGGAAGAGACAAATAACATTCGACGCATTGCAAACGAGACAAAAACTTCGTGATTTTTTAATGGCATTTTTGAATGGCGATTTATGAAGAGTGGAGTTTTGGGAACCTTCCCATACCAAGCATATTATGGGGTTTAAACACATTCCTGCGGAGGGAGCTGGTAGGAACGTTGGGTTGCTCGGTCAATGGCCAGGGTCAACGGCGGCATGGTGTATTCCGCAAATATGCCCGACTGTGAGAGCGGGCACAAGCCGGCGTGAGTAGGTTAAACGTTGAGTTTTATAAGGGCACCACGGGGTGACCAGCCCCTCCCCACCCAGCCCCACCCCTCCCACCCCCCACCCAGCCCCACCCTCCCCACCCAATCCCTTCCCACCCTCCCGACCTGGCCCCTCCCCACCCTCCCCATCCAGCCCCTCCCCACCCAGCCCCACCCTCCCCACCTAGCCAAACCCCACCCAGCCCCACCCCTCCCACCCCCCACCCAGCCCCTCCCCACCCCCCACCCAGCCCCGCCCCTCCCACCCCACACCCAGCCCCACCCTCCCCACCCAGCCCCTCTCTCCCCACCCAGCCCCTCCCCACCCTCCCCTCCACACCCTCCTCTCTCCACCCACCCCTCCCATTTTTGGATGCACGATGGACGGGCACAATAATCTCCTGTGGGCTGTTGTAACCTGGATTGCCAGTCGACATGTTGCTCGCCGACGTTGAATGTCATGACTGTCTACGGTAAACGTATTTATTATGATTTAGAGATCACGGTGATTTTATGGTAAAGCAGTTAGTCACGTGTAGGTTGGTGTGCATGTGTATGGTAACGTTTTCTCAGTATTTTAAAAAACCTTTTTAACGTTTAAGGGGACGTAAACCAGTGTATTTGTAGCGTCAGTCTGACACTCTGCATGACAATAGTAAAATTGTGCATGCTATAGTCGATGTAGTAAGTACAGCACCATGAACTACAATTCGGCTGTAGCTTAACGATAGAGCGATGTTTTGCATAAGTGTCATTTCTGGTTATTTCATTAAATATTGTTTTTACATGTCCTGTGTGTATGCGGTCTATGGATAACTCTAATTTATAATCTGTGCTGGGACATGGAGATGTTGGATGTGTAACCTGCTGCGGTCGAATGAAAGCCCAATGGCTGCTGTCCAGGGTGCTGAACAAGCTGCAATGACCATCAATGCGCTCATAACTCGGGTCTTATTCTTCAAGGGCTTGCCTTGCAAATACTGTGTAGCAACCACGTGCTTACGTAAACGCTGTATGATGCTGCTGGTCCTGTATTCGACTAGCACGCTTGGCTACGTAAGAAGTTCAACATACATGCATTCATAACTCACAGTAACGTCTGTAATATCACCAAACAGCTTGTGGTATTGCACACCTGTAATACAATGCTTTGATGGTAATGTTGGTGGGTTATACTTGGATGTGAAACGGGGCTACGAGGTAGCCAGAATGAGGTAACACAGCAAGTGGGTTGCAGACCTATCTCTGGATTATTGAGCGTTCTTGGCTTGTGTGTGAGAGAGTTTTCTTCCTACACTCTGGCTTTCGTCCACAAGGGGACTCAATAAAAACAATTAGGTCAAATGTTCCACGCCGACCCCCTCCTCGACATAGGTGTTAGAACTGAGTGAAGCTCTGTCGGATTAATAAATTACGCGATTATTTGACAGGAATTGAAACGTGACATTTCATGGTTCAGCAGCTCCACCGAGACTCCACATGCCTCTTCCTTGCATTCCTTTAACAAACATGTTACGTATTTCACCCCCCCCCCCACCCGGCCTCCACACACAGGACTTCTGAAAAATCCTTGAGCTGATTTTTTAAATTATTTTTCTACCACGTGTCACACTCCCGCGACGAGATTGTGACGTGGCAGTTAAAAATTCATTTTTTTAAATTCTCGGAGCAGTACATTTTAGCAACACTTTTAAGTGCTACGTCAAAGGTACTGTGGTGGGGATGTTTTTGTTGCTGTGCAGTCAGTGACCAGGGATGAAACCGTCGTCTCGCTGCACTTGAGATCCAGGTGGCCGAAACCTGGATTCGAAACCGGAACTCTTGAGCCATCCGACTACGTTACTCTGCCCGCCGGTTGTAAACGAACATCATCATGACAGTGGCATGGGGTGTTGTTTTCTCTCTTGTCTCGTGGCCCAAACAGACACCCACTTAATTTCAAATAACCCCATGTCTGCCGAGGATTTCCCTCAGATTCTTTAAAAGGAGCAAAGTTATCTACGTATATTTGTATAAAATCTTGATTAAGATAAACTATACTCTTTGGTTCTTTCGGTAAAGTCATGTAAGTATAAAATAAAATAGATCACGACGTTTCGGGCGCAACACCAGCGTCCGTCATCATGTGACAGACGCAATTGTTTCTTGCTGTGGTTGTTCCACCTGATGACGAACGCTTGTGTTGCGCCCGAAACGTCGTGATCTATTATTTTTTCTACCTACGTGACTTTGCCGAAAGAACCAAAGAGCATGGATTCCTGCAGTCACGAAAGCTTCAAATCAAGATAAAATATGTTTTCAGTATTATATAACTACCATATCTTGTGTGCATTCCCTTTGGCATCGTATTGATAATGGTAACCTCATTTCAGATCATCAGAGGCAATTACGCAATATATGCATACACGCACACAACGATGTCACATTTAGTGACAGACTGTAGGGGGTTAGTGCTATTCACAAGCACCTATTAAGGCTGGCAAATCACAAAGGGGGGGGGGGGAGGAGGTGTGCTCAGAACTCAGTGCTAATGCTTACACAATACACAAACATGACTGCCATCGCTCTACACTCCCAAGATATTGTCCAATCTTAAAAGCTAAGCAATGTGGAGCCTGGTTTGCACTTTGACCAGCCACTGGTAGGTTTAGTTATTTCTTTATAAATGTAGACAAACAGTCCACAGTCCACAGCTCCAAGTTCTCCTTTAGCACATCAGCCAATCTTTTCTCGACACCGTGACATGCCCATTGAGCCTGCTCCCCAGCAAGCATCTTACAGGGGGTCATCCATAGCGATTGTTTTGTGTTTATCGAAACTCTCGGGGAACTGCGAGTGTCATTGGTAATGACCGAGAGGCCGATATTTGAAGTCATTCTACGAGACCAAAGTGTCAAAAAATACTAGAATAGCTTTGCACTTGCTTGTTTAACCAACGACATGAATATATTATGCTCAAGTCAAATGTAACATGACAATGTCTATATTTTTTTCTCTCCAACCTTACAGTGCAATTGTGTTTGTTTATTTTGACAGTGATATTTCACTTCATATCGAGCACTTAAAGGATTTAATTCTGGCTCCGAGCTCATGACCTGTTGATGTCCTGGGAACACACACCAAAATGTAACAAAAGCTGCAAAGTAAAATGATAACAGATCAGATGAGCTAGAGGACACGGACGGCGATGGTCCATGCCTCCTGGTCATCCTCTATGGTATAGCTCTTCCTGGAATTCATACGTCACCCAAACCGAAAAAAGGGCCATCCTTCATAGCACATGTTCTATGAAGAAGGGCCCGTTGCCTGAAACGTTGCCGATGACATTTGTTTTTATTTTAAAACAGTGTTGTTGATGAATGTGTGGAGTTTTAACTGTGCTTGTGCCCCACTGCCAACGCCGCAGCATCACAAAATAATGTATGTAAACGATGCAACACTCTAGTATATAAGGACATGCTAGAAATAGTCCTGTGCGTTTACTGTCCTTCTGGTGATGTTTATAGGTATACAGCTGGTGTAGATTATAAAAGACCCATAGTTACAGCTGGGCTGCTATCTGTTTAAAATGTGAAACACTGTGATATTAGAAATTGTATCCAAGTCTAAAATAGGGTTCTTATGTGACTGATGCATTGCATACCCTTACACGCATTAGCCAACCAGGTGACGCTGCAGTTAGAATGCCCACATTAATTTAAAAATACAGTAGCAAATGTCAGTCTGGGGTGAATTCAGCTCATCCTCATCATTGTATTTTATCAAAATGAGTACCATTTTCTGGTGGGTCATCAGATATCGTATACTGATGTCGATCTCAGTAATAGGAATGTGGAATTTCCAGCACTGGCCCAGGAAAATCGGTGGAAGCGAGCGCCGTCAAATTGCTCTCGAGCCACGGAGACGCTGTGACTTGGCTCGATCAGGAATTCGCTGAACATTGTGCACATCCATCCCGATATCACAATGCCACGTGTGCACTCACTCCGAATACATTGTGTTTGGGAAGTTGGGGTTGTGGTCTGGGATGTGACCTAATGGACTAATTTCTATACCTTGATAACCTTTTTGTTATTTGTGCTTTTGTTTTGCTGCCATTTCTTAACTTGTTAATTTATTTAGGATTTTGCTTGATAGTAGGGTTTTCATTTGCTTGGTAGTAGCTGTATATGGGATTTTGTCCTTACATATAAATAAAGTTCAGCGTTATGGGATGTTATTAGCATGAATGACGCGACATAAAAGGATAGTTGTGTCGTATTATTATTACAGCTCTCTTGTCCGTTCTATTTCGGGATGGGGGCCTTCCCATGCCTAGCATGTTATGGGGTTTAATTGACTATACTTCACCAAGCCGGTCAGTGCTGGTTGGTGAATGTGTGGGGCAACAGCACAACAATGGATTTATGCTGCACTGCCCTCTTCTGCCTGCCACGAAGCCCCACGGCAGCTTATAAACCTATTTTAATGCATCAGTGTACACCCATTCAAGTACTATCCGGGCTCAGCTTGGCTTAGCTTCGGCGATATGATGAGATCATGCATGCCGTCGAGTGATTTGTTCGCGGGCGAATAGCATAAGCCGTAATACAATTTACTTGGCACACCTCGCAGATTAAATGTCCACACTCGTGTTGCAATGTTTATAGGAATTAGTTTATGCGTAATTTCCACATATAAAAATAGACACATCTCCACATGCCATCACAGACCTGCCTGGCTGCTAAAAATGGAGCAGGGGGGATTTTCTGCCCCAGCATCGAATAAATATACCAGCAGACCAGTTCTCGTGACGACGGCAATCCGTGTTAACTTGTAAATACGCTACACAAATAAATACCACCTAGCAAACAAACGGACAAACAAAATCACTCTACGCATCTCCGCACATAAACTCTGGCCCACGTGTGGTGTTGTTATTTATGGAAGTTGTTATGAGAATCCAGTCAAGTGGCTCTTGTGGTTAGAGCGCCAAGACGCGCAATTGGACATTTGCGAGTTCAAATCCTGGTTGGGGGGGGGGGGGGGGTCGACTTGGCCCATTATCATCACCATCATCCCTCCGGAGTCGATACAATGACTACCACTTTGTGGAAATTCAACAGTGGTTGTGCTATGGGAATACAGAATTTCCACTACCGGCTCAGGGGAGCCAGCAGATTTTAGTGTTGCCCCACACTCGCAGGGAGATGATGCTCTGACTTGACTTTGACTATTATTATTATCACGAAGCGAGTCCGTTGCTGCGACGCTCACCGTTCCTTCACAGCCCCCCCCCACCCCACATCTTCTTCCTCCACCCTCAACCCGCCCCCCACCCACCCGAGTCTCAGTCAGGCATCCCCAGTGGATGGAACATGGCTTTGTCCAGTACGAGCGAGCCGACGCGGTACAGCAGACGCGAGAACCAATGGACGCCCTCCTCCTCCGACGAGCGCTCGTCTGCCGGCTCGCCGCTGCTGCACGTGCCGTTGGCGGGCCGGCCCGGGCCCAGCCCCGCCGCCAGGCCATGCAGGAGACGCACAGGCCCCAGGGCCGCGTGGGCCAGCTCGTGCGAGCTGATGGCGGCGTAGCAGGATGCGAGCACGTCGTCCACGAGCACCGTGCCGCTCGACACGAGCGGCGCGTATGCCCCGAGCGCCTCCTCCGTGTAGACGGCAGCGACGCGCTCCGGCCGCATGCGCCCCGGGTGGCCCCCCGGCATCGCCGCCGTTTCACGCACGAACACGAAGTGGCCCGGGCGCACGCTGCTCGCGAAAATAGCGTCGACTCCGTCGCCGCGGGAAAAGTCCGTGTCGTTGGGTGCGACGAACAAGAGGTGCGCCGGCGTGAGCTTGAGGCGGCGGCGAGGGTTTTCCCCGGTCTCGATGACGTAGTAGAGCTGGCGGACGCGTGGCTGGCGGTCGAGGAAGAGCAGTATGGGGCTGTAGAGCAGCGCGCCCGAGCCGTCGGCGCTGAGCACACGCTGGCCTGGCTGCACGTCTCGCAGTGGAGCGGCGACGCCGCCCTCCAGCCAGACGTTCGCCTCGCCCGGGAAGCAGCCGCCTGACTTGGCGGCCACAGAGTTCTCTGATGGGGGGAGCGGTGGGGGGGGGGAGGAGAATGGGGCAGTGAGCGGACGTTAGACGTGCTTTGTAGATACGCGTGTTGAACTTCTTTTGCACCGTGCGTAGTCAACCATGCTAATCGTGGGTGCGTCGCACCATGGGTAGTGCGTCGAGTCATGAGCCGGACAAGCGGTTGATTAACAAAGTTTGTGCCATTGTTACTTTTAGACTTCGTAGGGCTGATGTAGATGTGGTACGGCCACTAGAATGTCACATTCAGATGGTCAAGCCAGATAACCGTCTCAGGAGCAGACACCACGAGTCTAACATTTAGACTTGTGGAGAGGAATAGAACTGTGCAAAACATATAAAATAAAATAAAACTATTTGAAACAATGGCAATGATGCGGTAAGAATTAGACAACATTTATTTAATCAAGACTCCCTGAATCATGGACAATTTGTCGAATAGTCGAGGGTGAATAGTAATTCGTGTCGTGTCGAACGCCGTTTGTGTCAAGTCTGAGTCAAGATCATTAATAACCACTGCTGTGCCCTTGCAAAACAATGGGAGCATCAACACAGGTATAGATTACGATGGCTCTTCTCTAATGATCCCAATAAAGCAGATCTCTTTAAGAGACAGCTCTTAGGACATTGTTTAAAGCAATGTTAATAGTTCAACTGTCTACTCTCTTTCATTGAATCAGATATGCAGATTTGTACGATTGACATCACAAGAAGATGGAGCATCAAAGTTAGGTCGTGTTCAGGAGCTCGATGGACTCTAGCATTGCGAGACTATGAGAGAAGGTAATGGCTTGGGGAAGGTCGTTATCCAGAAATGGATAGATCGTGACTGACGATGATGTTAGTGGAATAAAAGGATACATTCTCCCTGCTCCCACAAAGCATTGGGGTAGCCTCATCTCCACTTGTGCCTCTGACCCAGTGTTGGAAATAACTAATTTCCATGCCATTTACAAGTAAATCCATAGGATGATCACAGTTGACATTTTCTACAAAATAGTACTTGGTTTAATTACCCCCAGAAGGGCAGTGTACTTTTTGTTGTTGTAAAAGCATCTAAAACACAATTATATCCCTAGAAACTGCGTCATTAAGAAGAAAGACAACACAGGATGTAGGTGTAGCAGTGATCAAGCATGAGACATCTCTATCTGAGATGTTACAATTTGATGTAAGCAACGATGGGCAAAATAATGTAAATGCACCCAGAGCGTCACAAAACAGTATGGGGTACTAAATATAACAATGCTTTCAGGAAGGCCAGGAAAGTAATTCACACACAGAGGAAAAGAAGAAAATGCTCAGCCTGGACTTGAATTCGTGGAAGGGAGTCAGCAGTGTGGACAGCCATGAGGATGGAGCTCCAGACTGTGGGAGCAGCAGAGGGGAAGGAGTGACCTCCCACTCAGTGATGGTTGACTCAGGCATTGATTTCTGGAGCAGAGGCCATGTGGATGAGAGAATGGGTAACCGGCACAGATAGAGAGATGAGAGAGGGTAGAGAGATATTGCATTGTTGAGTTGAAAAGGCAAACGTGAAGCCACTATGGGCTGCCTGCATTGTGTAATGATTACAGCCTCCCTCTCGAAGCGAGAGTTTCCGCATGTGTCTAGAATCCGGCAGGGCAGCACTGTGGTTAGAACAACACTCGACTCAAGAGTCAAAAACACACGAGTTCTTGCATGGAGAGACTGGTCACTGTCATATAAATGTGGAGTTTCCTCCACCGGTGCAGGGTCACCAATTGAGAGAAGCACCTCCTAATACCCCTTTGAGCAGGGATATACTATTTTACTTTTAGATGCACACCTTACCACCATCACTGCGATCAATATTATCCACAGCTAAAATTAATTCAGCACCAACTTCTGGAAGACCAGCGCTTCCACCTCTATGGAAATGTATGGCTCAAGTGAAGAATATTTGGACCAATTTGATCGCTGACAATCCGCGTTTTTCCATCACGCGATTCAAACCATGTATTCCACGTTCAAACAATTGCTCAGCAATGCTTATCCCTACTGGTGATTCTGAGCCTGACGAAAATTCTACATTATCATGGCAAGGACCAGTCGTTTCATACTTCAACTGCTGTTGACGTTCCACAAAGTAATGCAGTAATATTCCGGTTTACGTCGGGGATGCGTTCCTGAAAGGTGCGACGACGAATATCAAAACGACGCAAAATCAAATCGAGTTACAGGGCAGGTGGAGGCAGAGGCGGATTCTGTTAGCGCCGTAAGTGGGTTGAGGCAATGCAAATCAGGTATTGGTATTAATAAAGTGACGATGTATTTGCGAAACGACGTCAAAGGGGGTGACGTAAGTAGGGGTATTGCTGCACGTACATTGGTATTGTTATTGGCTGCAAAAGCACGATAGTCAACCCCTTACCAAGCTTTGAACTCTTGAATTTCTTTGATTGAGCATTCTACCCACAGCGCCATGTGTCCTTAATGCAGTCCTTATTACATCCTGACTCCAGCATTTGAATACAAGACAGTTCAACAACTTTCACTCAGTTACGCATTACCAAGGGCACGCCAATGGCTATTGCGCACCCCTTACAAAACAAAGATCGCATCAACTGGATTTACATAAACAAAGCCAAATATTACGATTGTGATTACTATCTCAGCAAGAGGCAGTTCTCTCGGCAAGCTTTTGTTTAAAAGAGTGTACAGTACGTCGTTTTAATTAACTTTGAGCAGACGTTTAGAAACTTGGTAATAATTAAGTAATTCTGGTCCACTATTCTTAGTGCTACCTATTATTGGCATGTAAGGGAAGCTTTAAAAGGTAAAACATGTTTCCATACTCAAACGACCATTAAAATAGTTATCCTATCCATTGATGGCCACGAGCTCGTGCTGGGAATTCCAAATTCCCATGGTGGGGACTTTCAAATTCGTGCTTTTCAATTTAGAAACCACAGAGGGATGTATGTTGAACTTTTTTCACACTGTACATCGCCAACCGTGCTTAATCGGAGGTGTGGGGGAAAGGTCAACAAATTAAACACGAAAAGCACTTCGAAAGAAATGAGTTTTCAATCTAGATTTAAAAGTGTGTAGCCCCAGTGCTTCCAAATATGGGAAGGAAGAGCGTTCCAGACGGCCGCAGAAGCACATCTGTTCTATGTCTAGCAAAAAGCCGCTGCGAGGATGACCGGAATTCGCACGATGGTTTATACTCCTTGACGAGATCAGCAAGGATGAATCTCGCGATTCGAGTCACTCGCTCTCACCAGTCAACCTTACTAGTTCGCAAACAGAGTAAAAATTTTAGTATCGAGAAGTGTAGAAGGATAAGCAGCTTGGGCGATGGAGGGATGTGAGTGGGCGTGGTGGCACACACCTGCAATCATGGAAGCGAGGGTGAGACTGACAAAGGGCTGTAAACAAATGTTCCCATGTCATTATGATCAGTGGCATAGCGCAGTTGGCATGGGCCCTGGTTCAAGGACTTAAATGAGGCCCCCTGTCTAATCCCTCCTTCTAGTCTGGTGCCTGGGTCCCTCCAGCTAGGGTTGCCACATTTTGTCCTCTGTTGACCAAGCCCACACACGTTTCTCAGTCAGCAATTGGTCACCTCTGGTTTGCACGGTTGGCCACGTACGGTGCGAAAGAAGTTCAACATACACACACATACGTACCATGCAGTAAACTCTAATACACATCAACACAATACCGGTACCAGATCTGGGTGCAAACCGATTCCTCGCTACCCAAAATGCAGTTGGCAAAAACCTATACAGGGGGCAACCTCTAACCCCACGGGGCGCAACGCAGAGGTCGCAACCGGGTACCTGATACCCGTACCCTACCCGATACCCGGATACCCATACCCGGCCGGGTACAGGTACGGGTACCCGTTTGCGACCCTGGTGCGGCCGGGTACGGGTACAGGTAGACCGTGAGTCACTGGTGAGTAACCGTTTGTCACTCATTTCCCAACGTCTTGTCTCTTCTCACAATTCAAGTTCCTAGAATCAATCCACCCGCGCCTGCAACATGGCTTCATCCCAGAGGTCGCAATCAGGTACCCGATTCCCGTACCCTACCCGGCCGGGTACGGGTAGGGTACGGGTACGGCCGGGTACGGGTATGGGTACCCGTTTGCGACCCTGGTGCGGCCGGGTACGGGTACAGGTAAGGAATCAAAACCCGTTTGCGACCTCTGGCACAACGGGGCCCCGGCGCAGTTCAACCACTGGCACACTACTCGATCCCAGTCCAGTATTCGTACCGGCTTTGACGGAGCAATGCACGTGCGCCTTGGACTCGTAGTAGACCCAGTCAAAGCCCGCCTCGGCCGCCAGGCGTGCCAGCATGCCGTACTTGGCGCGGTCGCGGTCCGACGTGGTGATGTCGAGCGCGCGCCCCTCGAAGTGCAGAGACTCCTCCGAGTGGTGGCCGTCCTCGTCCCAGCCCTCGGTGACGCGCAGCTTCACACCGGGCCACTGGTTCATCACGGAGATGGCGAGCGCGTTCAGCCGGTCCTTGCAGCGCTGCGGAGCGAAAGGAGGCAAGGGCGGGCAGGTGAGGGGGAAGCGTGGTACGTGGATCAGATTGGGCCAGGGGAGGGGAACCAACTCGTACGACATGGGGGCCGCACCTGTGTCCGCGACTTCGTATGTATGTTGAACTTCTTTCGTACCGTGCGTAGCCAACCGTGCTAATCAAAGGTGTGCCTTCATTCACGACACACGGCTCGCACAACCACATTATGGCCTCTCGCTTTTAAACGGCCCACAAACGATGTCCATCCCTTGCTGTGGGTGAGCACAGTAGCCGCACTCACCGGGTACTGTCGGAGACTGTGTTTCACCAGGCAACGTTGTGGTTCTAATTGCAGCACGACCAGTTACTTCTGTCACTGGCAACGGCCTCGTGCGATTATATATAAACATTTGTTGTCCTTGGCTACATACGGTGCGAAAGAAGTTCAACATACATATGGTACATACTTGCGGTGACAAGATAATTGAAAGTCGTCTTCGACCCGAGTGCTATAAGGGCTGTTTTGGGAAACGTAGCATATTAAGTGTTTTATTTATCTTTTAAGGCCCCAGTATTATTGACAAATGTGTTGAAAGAGTTCCCCACCCCTAACCCTGGACTATCGACGCATGTGTAGTGTCAGCGGAGCGGCAGAAAAGGTTTTTTTCCAGGAGGCACCTTCTTTATTGACACCTTCACAGGTTCCCCCTCGCACTCTCCCTAGTCGTCTAGTCTTGCCTAAACACAACCCTGGCCGTGTAACACCGATGACGCTGACCGAGACAGCCAACAACTCTCCGGTCACGCAATATCTAGCGAAGACAGCAGCGATGAAGGCGGTGAAGAAAACAGCGATGACGAGACGAGTCCACTCCCAGAACCGGCAGCCCTGAGCTTCTGCTTTCAGCTGCTTTTATGCTACCCGGCGCCGCCTGGCTCCGCCCTGGTCACGGCTCCCTTCTCGAACCCACTAGCAGGTTCCAGGGGTTTCCAGATGGGGCCTTCCGTGACCCTTGCCCCAGTTCCTCCGCCCTACCGACACACCCGTGTATATGCTCACCGGCGTGTATACTGCTCGTCCACCGCAGTTGCCGCTGCTGGACAGCAGTCGACACTATTACACTACACGTCTATAACATGTACCGTGTTGTGCTCTGTGTGTGTGTTTGTGTGAGGAGTGGTGGTGCAGCGGTTAGCACCACCCGGCTACCTCAGTTAAGATTCTTGGTCACGACCAACATCGGTGGCGAATCGTATCCGAACCGGTTCTGGGACTCCTTTCTGAACCGGTTCTGGGACTCCCCGAGGACGACTCGGCCTTACGTGGTAAGTGCCTGGCGCGGTGTGTAAACCTCAGCCCTGGAGAAACCGATGTGGCTGGGCGTGATGCTGGCCACACTAGCCCTCTCGTGCGCCATGCCGGCATGAACATGTGCTCGCAAGCAACACTTTCCACAGCACTCTACGCAAGCCACAAGGGGAATCTACGCTTTTGTTTGATGTGTCGTAGCAAAAGATGGCGTCACGGGGAGTTGGGTGACAGATTTGGGGGCGAAACTAAACTAGGAGCCAATCGGTTTAACTTAAACAACAAAACAAGAATGCTGGATTTTGCGCACACGTATTACTGTTGAAATAAAGCTATTTATTAAACATTACAAATGTGATGTATACACAGTGCTGTACACTAATTAAGTTGAGATACGTTGTAGCCGAGGAGGCATGTATACTGTCCCCTCCACTGAAACAGGGAGTCGAACCTGCATCCAAGAAGGACGCAAGCTGCCCAGCCACTATCGACGACAACGTAGCTGCTGTTCTTCGATGATAATCGTCGCCTGCACGGCAGACGGGCTGCAAAACACGAGCGCCAAGTTCGCATCGCAACCCTAAACCCCGACCGCTCTGTTGTAGTTATTCAGATGCCGATATTGCCCACAATTTGAAGGCAAAAATTGGCGTCGTGTGTGGTGAGTTTCCGAGCGACTGGCTGGAGTGAGCGCTCAGGAGTTGCCGGGAAGGCACGACAATGGGAGGAGTCCACGAAACCTACAAAGACGGCGGCGACCGCATCGCGCGCTTTCAGACGCGCTTCCGCGGCCGTCTGGAACGCTCTTCCTTCCGATATTAGGAAACCACTGGAGCTATGAAAGTTTGAATCGAGATTGAAACTCATTTCTTTGTAACTGCTTTTGTTGCATAATTTGTTGTCTTTTCCGCGCACCTCCAATTAACACGATTGCCTACGTACGGTGCGAATGAACCTAATGTTTTTGAGGCATAATAATAATGACGCGACGAATATCGGGTCCCTTTAAATAATATATCGTGTAAGTTAACTGAACATTTTACTTGAGAATGTTTTTTAAAATATATTTTATATCAATCTGCTTTGGTGAAGGGCCTTTCCAAGCCGTGTCAGTTGTGAAGGTAGTTTAACCATACCTCACCACGCTGGTCAATGCAGGTTTGTGATTAGTGCCTAGGACTGGTTGGTTCATATCCCACTCGCCACTGATGTTAGCCGTGCCGGGTGCATGGCGCAGTGCGATAACCACTGCGTCACCGCTATCCATATTGCACATCCATGTGCGCTTATGTGTATACACACCCATCGATATTCATCCCAATTGCTCTCTACATGAACGACTATCGCTCTCTCAAATAATGTGCAGACACAAATACAGCTGCATATTTAAATGTGCACACACACGCAACATTCATTTACAGCCTTTCGTCAGTCCACTTTTGGATTAATGGAAGTTGGATGAACCCACTGCTGGACGAGGATTCATAGCGCAGTGCGCTAACCACTGCGCCACCGCTACTCCATGAATATTATAAATGTATGTACTGTGTGTTGAACTTCTGTCGCACCGCACGTTGCAAACCGTGCTAATCAGAGGTGCGGGGGAAGGACAACAAAATAAATACAAAAATCAGTCCTAAAGAAATGTGCATAGCTCCAGTAGCTTCCTAATATCGGAAGGAAGAGCGTTCCAGACGGCCGCAGGAGCGCATCTGAAAGCGCGCGATGCAGTGACCATCGTCTTTGTTCGCTGCTGTGAGGATGACCGGAGTTCGCGTGATGGTTTATGCTCCTTGACGATATCATCAAGGTATTGTGATTCGTTCATAAATTAGGAATAGCGTGAATGGTAACATCGCGGTTAAACTGGGCGATGCACTGTGCAGTTCTACGAGTTACTCATCTCGCTCCACTCTGGTGGGGGTGGTGGTGGGGGGGGTATGTTTATTTCATCATCAGTTGGAGAAGATAATGCCGTGGTTAATGGATTCGCGGCGGCAGCATCGGCATTGTTTGGTTTGGCCGCAGAGCTCATATTGTTTCCGTTTGTGTTTGCGCTCCAGTTAATGGGTAGCGAGGCTGGCGAGAGGAGCCCTCCGTTCGAACTCACACCCCCTGCCATTCTCTATCCACAAGTGGATGATGGCCTTCCTCCCCCACGCCATGGAACAACAACGCGTCTCTAGACATTCAGTCAATAAGACTGTGGCCGTCAAAGGACAAATATATAAAAGCTGACGTTCGGGCAATGGCCCTTCTTCATAGCATATAGACAGGCCAGAGAGATAGAGGGGATACTGTGCATTACACACTGAACTTGACACACACCAGTGAGTCTGATCATTACATTTTAAAATTGTTTCCTGATGAACAAATTTTTTTTATTAGCCATATGGATATTAGTAGCTATTGAGTAACAGACAAACCCTTCGGTAATAAAAAATATGCATTGTTAAATAAACTCAGTTGTGTTAAAGGTAATATGATGATGAAATGTAGCTGGCGCATTCTGCACCACATTCTGCACGGTAGTTTTTGTGTGTGCCATATTTGACCACGTTTGCAAGTGCAGGTTGGTGAAGCAAGTGTGGGAGGATAGCACCCTGTTCTAATAACGCCACCTGCCATGCCGCTGATGTTGACCGTGAGCGGAAATCGAATTCGGGTCGCCGGGTTCATAGCGCAGCGCGCTAACCACTTCACCCCCAATCAGTAACTTAAACCGGTGGCATCCTACCGTGGTCGATAAAGGCAGTAACACTTTGTTGATGCTCCAAAGTTTGAAATAAAGAAATAATCCATTATGTGGAATTGCATTTGAATAAAAATATGGGCCAGTTTCGCTCATTTGGAAGCTCATCAGGAATGTGTCAGGCTTGTTAAACAATCATTGCTATTCTAAGACCTCCCCCCCGAAGCGTTAGTTATATTGCAGTTCTGTCCATTGTATATTCTACAAAGACAAATATCTCCTGTATAGCATTAACAGACTATTGTGGCAAGTGCTGTTGTAGAGCACCTATGAAGGCCAGCACGGCACACGGTGGAGGTGGGTGGCCAGCATGACGCCCAGCCACCTTTGTCTCCCGAGTGGCGATGTTTACACACCGCACCAGATACTCATTTGATACCGAGTCGACCTAAGGGAGACCCAGGACCGGTTCATACATTCGCCACTGTTATTGGTCGTGTGCGGGAATTGAACTCGGGTCGCGGGTTCGTGGCGTGCTAACCGCTGCACTACTGCTATGTTGTACGGTATATATGGGTGCTCAGCCAGTCGAGCCATACATAGCAAGGCCACTGTTGTTTTTTAGGGCACTGAACTGACTTTTTACGATGGTGGGCCGAGTCAACGACTGATCGGCTGGGATTTGAACTCTTTAAGGTCGCGAGTCGAGCTCGCGCATGAGGACTCACACGTTTGCGCGGATTAATACAACCTACTTGCTGTACTGCCATCGATAACACTGTTAAAACGTTGCCTGTTTTTACGTCATTCAGTTTATACATTCACTGAAACAGCTAACTTAGACGCCTCCACTATTGTAAAACAAAATTAACAATGTTCCGCCCTTTGTCGATCCACTGCTTGATGGGCGTTGATTGACCATACTTCACCACGCTGGTCAGCACAGGTTGGCAACCAGTTCGGATATCACTCGCCACTAACGTTAGTTAGCCGTGGCTGGGAGTCGA